GAAAAATTCTCAACTTCGTATGGAACAACAAGAAACCCAAAATTGCTAAAACAATCCTCTACAATAAAACATCTTCTGGAGGTATCTCCATCCCTGATCTCAAGCTGTACTATAGAGCAACAGTTATAAAAACTGCATGGTACTGGCATAGAAACAGAATGGTGGATCAATGGAATTGAACAGAAGACCCAGAAATAAACCCACACACTTATGGACACCTGATTTTTGACAAAGATGCCAAAACCATACAATGGTGAAAAGATAGCATCTTCAACAAATGGTGCTGGTCCAAATGGATGTCTACATGTAGAAAAATGAAAATAGATCCATTCTCATCACCCTGCACAAAACTGAAGTCCAAGTGGATCAAAGACCTCAACATAAAGCCAGACACATTAAACTGGCTAGAAAAAAAAATGGGAAATACCCTAGAACTCATTGGTACAGGAGAAAACTTCCTGAACAGAACACCAACAGCACAGGCTCTAAGAGCAACAATCAATAAATGTGACCTCATGAAATTGAAAAGCTTCTGTAAAGCAAAGGACACTGTCATCAAAACAATCGACTGCCTACAGATTGGGAAATAATCACCACCAACCCTTTATCTGACACAGGACTCATATCCAGTATATATAAAGAACTAAAGAACCTGAAAAGCAGCAAACCAAGAAATCCACTTAAAAAATGGGGAACAGAGCTAAACAGAGAACTCTCTGTAGAGGAATATCGAATGGCAGAGAAGCACTTAAAGAAATGCTCAACCTCATTAGCCATTAGGGAAATGCAAATCAAAACAACCCTGAGATTCACCTTACACCCCTCAGAATGGCCAAGATCAAAAAATCAAGTGACAACACATGCTGGAGAGGTTGTGGAGAAAGGGGAACCCTTCTCCACTGCTGGTGGGAATGTAAACTTGTACAACCACTCTGGAAACCAATCTGACGCTTTTTCAGACAACTAGGAAAAGCGCTTCCTCAAGATACAGCCATACCAGTCCTAGGCACATACCAAAAAGTGGCTCAAGTCACAAAAAGGACTTTTGCTCAACCAAGTGTGTAGCAGCTTTATTTGTAATAGCCAGAAGCTGGAAACAGCCCAGATGCCCCTCAACTAAAGAATGGATGCAGAAACTGTGGTACATCTATACAATGGAGTATTACTCAGCAATGAAAAATAAGGAAATCATGAAATTTACAGTAAATGGTGGGACCTGGAAAGGATCATCTTTTTTGAGTTGTCCCAGAAGCAAAAAGACACACATGGTATATACTCACTCATAATCATACAACATAGAATAAACCCATTAAAATCTGTACATCTAAGCAAACTAAGCAAAAGAGAGGACCCTAACTAAAATGTTCAATCCCCATCCTGAAAGGCAAGGATGATGGACATCAGAAGAAAAAGAAAACAGGAAACAACCTAGGAACCTGCTACAGAGGGCCTCTGAAAGCCAGAAGAAGGAAAAAGGAAACAACCTAGGAACCTGCCACAGAGCGCCTCTGAAAGCTTCTGCAGTATAGACTGTCAAAGCAGATGCTGAGCCTGATGGCCAACTGTTGGGCAGAGTGAATGGAATTTTATCTAAGAAGTGGGAAATAGTAAGAGCTGGAGAGGACAGGAACTCTACAAGGAGAGCAACAGAACAAGAAAATTTGAACACAGGGAACTTCCCAGAGACTCATACTCCAACCAAGGACTATTCATGGAGATAACCTAGAACCCTGACAATGCAGCCACTTCTGATGAGAACTGATAGACTAAGATCAGAAAGAAGGAGAGGAGAACCTCCCCTATCTGTGGACTTGGGGAGGGGCATGCATGCAGATAGGGGGTAAGGGTGTGACCGGGATGGGAGGAGGGAGAGGCTTATGGGGGGATACAAAATGAATAAAGTGTAATTAATAAAAGTTAAATAAAAAAATTTTAAAAAAATAAAAAATAAATCTCAAAAAAATCATATAAGAAAATCCTAATCTTACGTATTTTATAAGTCAAGGGGTGAGCCAGATATGCCACAATTCCTGAATAATGTTGGCAATGCTAAGGGCATTGTTAGCCATTTAGATGTTAACATATTCTATATATTTTGTTTCAACTCTTTCCCTACTCATCTCCACTTTTGCTTTCATTTGTTTTATCTCCCTCCCCACCCAAGGAGTACTGTGGTTGAACATATGCCTCCTTCATCCTAGGCAAGCATTCTACCACTGAGCTACAGCCCAGCTTTCCTTTGCACTTATACCCAATCTAATGATTGTTGTGCTGTTGCTCCCAATCATACAGTAGAGTTCATTACAATGTAATGAAGGGCAATACATATTTCATTGAGAAAGTAATCAGAGCCAGTGGACATACTTCAGAATTGTATTCATCTTCCCAGAAATACCTGCTGAAGGGTGGAGCAGGTGGGTCTGTCATGTGCTGCTGTTTCAGGATCCTTCAATGGAGACTTGAGAGCCTCTAGCCAAACCCACAAGAAGAAGCCCTGTGCACAGCACTGTGGCCCGGTCTTACCCCTCCTATCACAGAGCAGCTGAGGATTGATGCACAGGCTCTGTTAGTCTAGAACATGCTTGATGGAGGGAGAAGAGAAAGACTGCAAAAGGAGTTCTAGTTTTGGTCTTGCCTCTTCTCCACAGTAATATAGGAGCTGGGTGAGAACATGCTTTACTGTTTCCTCACAACCTCCAAAAGCAGAGCAATTCACATAGCACACTGATAGTCTGTTAAAGAAGAAAACACCCATATTCACTCCACAACTCTGTTTTTCAGATTGTGCTTCTTTATCAAGTGCTTCCATAAGTACCTCTGGTATATCACAAGGTGGATTAAAAAGCAAACAAGGACAGTATACGAGGCCTCGAGAAACAAAGTTGGTGAACTTTATACATCACCATGCAGTAACTGGATCCAAAGACAGCTATGCCACTCCATACATATTATGTATCAATGTGCAAAATCCAGATCAATAAGAGTGCACTAATGAACTAGCTAGTTATTGCTCTTCTCCCATTATCCTCAAAAGAATCTCAGAGCTAAAGGCATTTTTAAAGTAAAAGCTACCTTTTGGCTACAAAGATACACTTCTCTAAACAAGGCTAGCAAACAGAGGCTTTTAGAAGCTCCTGCAGCCATGTGAAATTCAGTATGTTCAGTTCTGAGTTTTCAGTTCTATCTTGTGGGAAAAAAAAATGTTAAACCGATTTTTCTTTTACATGTTTTTTTTTTTTTTTTTTTTTTTTTTTTTTTTTTTTTTTTTTTTTTTTGTTGTTGTTGTTGTTTAATTTTTTCCCCTCAGGTAACCTTTTCTCTGAAAGCAAGCCCAATATTGTTTTGGTTACTTAGAAGATTCAGGTTTGATTAGATGGTAGTATTACATATGTCTCTCTTTACTAAAAAATGACCAGATATTATATAGAAGTTCAAGTGCTCGAGAAAAGTTTGGTTTTGTTTTTTTTTTTTTTTTTTTTTTTTAAGGTCTGTCTGATGTTAGCAGTTCAGTAATTTGGAGAGAGAATCTTCTTTGCTCACATGAACTAGTTTCCGTTTTTGTTTCTGTATCACAGTTCATCCACTTTTGATTGAACTGTACCACACATACAAGGCAGAGGACTAACGCAAGGCTCAGCACTATCAGCTATGAGTATAGCCATAAAATCTTTAGTAAGTTAATATGAAAACAACACAAAACAAATACCCCAAACGAGAGTGAAATTACACTGGGAAAACTGGTAAGGTACAGAAAACAAAGTGTTAATAATTTGGCCTGTAGGGGTTAGAGAGTTGGCTCAGCAATTAAAAACACTGTGTCCTTTCAAAGGACCCAGGTTCAAATTCCCAGCACCCACATGGCAGCTCACAACTGTGTGTGACTCTAGATGCAGGGGATCTGACAACCCTCTTACAGACATACATGCAGGGAACATACCAAAACACATAAAATAACAGTAAATATTTTTTTTAAAAAAAGAAAGAAAGCAAAAATAAAATGAATAAAATAAAATAAAATAAAATAAAAACATGCTCCTCCACAAAAAACACCCAATAATTTTGCCTGGAGTGTTGGGACAATGGTAGAGCAAATTTGCCTAGCATAATTTGTACAACACACACAAACAAAAACAAACAAACAAACCCATCTAAACACAAACTCAAAGAACAGACTTTCAGTTTCTAAGAGAATCTATGAAAGCAGCTATTTCCATTAATAATTTTAAAGGTGAGGATGAGGTGGCATCCACAGTGTATTTTTATAATCTGTATTTAACACTGAAGGTGAGGAGACTGCAGAGAGGTAGAAAACACATGTTCCAAAAGCAACAGTGTGCTGCACACTCCTTGAGGCTCTACACACTAGGAGTTGTGCCTGTGTGCAAAGGGGGCACCATGAACTAACATCCGTCCAAGTACATGGATGTTACCCTTGTCTTTCTTACATACATGCAGTCTATACATGTATATTTACACCAGCTTGCTTTCCCTGCTAGGAGAAAAATGTCAGACTTATTCATATTTTTATGACCCTCAAACTGAACTTGATATTATCAAGGTACACTTTAACGAAAGAATAGGTCCAAACTATTTTTTATTTAAAGGCTGATTCTGAAGAAATGCTTTCACTGTTCAATTAAAAATAATATATGGTATTACATAAGCCAAAGCAGGACACAGTGTCTCTTTCCTCCATATTTGACACAATAAGCACTTGTGACAGGTTTTTCCTCTCTGTAAATATGGTAGGGGCTGCTTGGAACTTAGTAATCTGAAAGAGACATTAAATCCATGTATGGTGCTCCTAAGATTCACCAAGAATACTGAAAGCACTATACCATGAAGAAGGCAAATTGTTACTTAACTGCCTCTCAAATTCAAGCAAAGTTGTTAACCATACACCCATGTATTTTGCTAATTTAAAGATATTTTTGCATCTGGGCTAGGCTATGCTGGGTTTCAGTTCTCTTTAAAAAACATGAATCCCTGAGACTCTCAGTTCACAAGAATGTGTCCCTTCTGAGTGGGACATCTGTGGAGATGTTTGGAGGCATCTGCCTGTTGATACTGCTAGAATCCAGAGTCATGACTTTTGTATGGGACAGTTGTTGCTGAACTAGAGCTTGAACCTGCATTTGGCTTGTAGATTCTGCCTTTGGCTGAGCTCGTAGAGGTGTAAGGGGTGGCTGGGAAGGTGGCTCTCATTGTTGAGGTCCCTGGTTCATTGGCCTTCGTCCACAGTGCCTTTGCTGACTGTAAGGAGCATGGGACTGTTTTCCACCTTGCACCTTGTTTCCTTCTGGAGAGTGAGCATTAGATTGAAGAAAGGATCCTGGCACAGAAACACCAGCTGGGAAGGTGTAATCTGAGCCCATAGAACATGATGCAGGATGGGGGGTAGGATATGTTGGTTGTGGGAAACCTGGTCGGCAGGGAAGAGGAGGGAAGGCTTCAGGATGATGAATGAGGATGAACTGAGAATTATTTGTCTGACTTGGAATTTGAGTGACAGGTATTTTCCCGGTGTTAGACACCAGAGTCTTTTTTAGTTCTGTCTGGGATTTTACCTCTTGGAGAGGAAAGCTTCTTCCTTGGTCTCTATTCACTTCTCCGGGCTTAATGTTCTCATTGAATGTTATCACTGGTTTCTCTCCTGTGTCACAGCTGTTGCTTGGATTTAGGCCTGCAGACAGCCCTGACTTCAGTTCTGGGTTGCCATCTGTTGTTAGTGACTCTATCTGATATATTTCTTGCAAGATGAGGTTCTCTTTAGCTTCAGTGGGCTCTTCTAGTATTAATTCTGGAATTTTTGTGATGAATAACAATTTCCCTACCTCATTTTCATACTGAATCAGCTGTGGCTGATTGTCAGCAATCCATTTCCCTATAGAGATCAAACGATGCTGTCTTATTTGTCTCTGTTGAACTTCTTTGTACCCTGAAATTGCCTGATGGCCTTTGGAAAAATCCAAGTTCCTGAAAGAAGGTCTTAAAGCCAAGAATCCTTGTAATTCAAACTCCTCTGGAAGTGGTATGGAATTAGTAGTTGAAAGGTCATCTTCATGGGGATAGAAACTATTTAGAAGAGAAACTAGCCAGGGCCAAATGTACTGTTTTTCACCCATCACTGCTTCTTGAAAGACTCTAGGTCGAAGTCTTAGCCAGTCCATGGAGACCTTGACTGCAGGAAGGGGATAGGCATTGTAGGACTCCTGAGAATCGTTCTGGAGAGGACATTTGCACAGGATGCCAAGAAAAGCCATGAAAAGGGACAGCAACTGTTTCCAACATAGCTGTTCATCTTGGCTATAACTATGCTGCTCTGTTTCATTGCTAAAGTCACGAAGATGATGAAGTTGAAACACGTTAATGACAGTGATATGAACTAACTGCTGAGAGTTGAAAGCTTTTTGGAACACCAGCCTCTTAAACTGTTCTTCCAACTTCTCTCGAAAAGGTCTCAAATTTTTCAAACTCTTACTCAGATATACATGACCGTGGAATTTAATAAAAGCACTGATGAATTCAGAAACACCCCACTTGGTTTTCAAATCATCCCGGGTTTCCAGTGCTTTAGAAAGTGCTTTCTGTAGATTAGTGGAGGCGACTGGGAAAGGGAACATCACAGCAATGCTTCTGCAGTAGTAGAAAATTGTGGTCAGGTGGTCACCTTTGGAAGAAGCTAAGATAGCCAACTGATTGTAAGGCTGACCATTGGAGGGGGCAAGCTGGGCTGCATGCCTATAGTAGGACTCTGCCTGGCTGGTCTGGTTTCTGTATCGAGCAATGTCTCCAAGGTGAACGAGGCAGTGTTGGCAAATGTAGGCACACGATCTAGTCTGTGGCTTCACTATGGAGCTGGTGTGCATCTGTTTATTACTAATAATTCCCAGTTGGGACGACTTCACACGGCCAGGCAAATCTACATTAAACACCATACACAATTCCTGTAGTAACTGAGTATAGAAGCCAGTAGCTGCTTCCAGGAACACAGAAAGGTTTACCTGGACTTCGCTCCAATTTGGGTTTGCTCGGTTCTTTGCTTGGCCTTGTAGTATTGTGATCTGATTCTTAAAGGCATGATTCCATAGATCCTGTTCTACTTTCTTGTCTAAAGCATATTCCAGATCAATAACTAGCATTTTCTGATACAAGTCCTGTAGAGCTTGCCTGGATGTTGAGACCTCAGCTGGATCCAGCTCATAATCTGTCATTTCAGCCTTCAGGACTTCTGCCTGTTGGAGATACTGCATGGTCTTCATGCTCCTCCTTCGCCCCTGAGTCTCCCCGTAAAATGAAGCCACCTTGTGTTTCTCAGGCTCCTTTAAGCAAGCCCGCAACCACGTGAGTGCTGTTGGCTGCTGCCGTCTTCCTCTTCTCTGACTCCTCCTTGCTCAGCACTGGGTGGGCTGGGAGAGTGAGTGTGGCTAGAGGGAGGTTATGGGGAAAGCTTCTCTAGATTTGATTCTGGCTTCTGGGACACAGGGTTGCTGCCACTCAGGAGAGATGGAAGAGGAGGGAGAAAGTAAGGGGGCTGGGGCGAGGGAAGAAGAAAACACTTGCCTCTTTACCAACTGATGAAGTCCAAATATTAGTGACTGCAAAGTGTAAGAGAGTGACTTTAAACATTCTTATGTTTCTATGGTTACCAGAGATACATGACCCATTATGAGAAATAAATCAGAGTCAAGACACATAGTCTTAAAGGACCAGAGTGGTTAATGCCCTTCTCATGTGTGAGAAGGGTTATGGAAATAATTAATTTACTTCATTTTTAATTTTAAAAATTTCTCATATGGTGTACCCCACACTCCAGTTCCCTGGCCTGTGCCAATTCCAGGGATCCACCCTGATCTGTGGTACCTGGGACCAGCACATATCAGGGAACACCAGGTAATAGACACCCCACCCCTTCATAGGCTGGTCTGCCACAACCTGCCAGCAACAGTAGGCAGGTATGCCCAGGGCCCTCTGTGCTCCACTTTCCCTGAGTGGGGCCCACACCCTAGTTCCCTGGCCTGTACCATTTCTGGAACCCACCCCATTCTACAGCCCCTGAGACAAGGAGGGATAAGGGAGAAGCCATTCCCAGGTCTGAGATGTTTCCTGGGATACATCCCTATCTGAGACACTAGAGAGCAGCACAGATTAAAGATCAGCAGGAAAACCAGAGGACTTTGGCTATCTGTGACCTCGAGCTCTGCCTACAACCCCAGGATCCTGTTGCCAATCAGACACCTCCCAGTGTGCTAATAACAGAGCCTAAACCAAATGGCTAGAAGTCAGAGCAAGAACACCAGCAACAAAATGCAGTGCATATAACACAACCAAAACTCAGCTATCCTACCACAGCAAATCCGGAGGATACTAGCACACTGGAACAACAAGAAAATGATCTCAAATCTGAGGCTATAAAATGATAGAGGCATTAAAATAAGAAAATAAATCCCTTAAAGAACTGCAGAAAACTACAACCAGGTTAAGGAATTGAATGGATCCCTTAAAGAAATATAAGAAATACAGCCAAATGGGAGAAGAAAATGAATAAAACTGTCCAGGAGTGAATGTGAAAATAGAAACAATAAAGAAAACACAGTCCATGGCAATCTTGGATATGGAAAACCTATATTGGAAGAGAACAGGAACTACAGACTTTCGGGATACAGGCTTTTGAATCAAGACATAATTATCTTTTGATTTTCTCATTGTCTGTTTTATGAACACTTATTTTTTTATTTTTTTGATTTGTACATTGTTTCTCTGTTTTTTAGTCATTTTGTCTAAGTTTTTGTCTATCTTGATGATTTTCTCAAAGAACAAACTCTTAGTTCCTTTGATTCTTCATATTGTTCTCTTTGTTTCTGATATATTGCTTTCTTCCATGAGTTTAATTATTTCCTGCTGTCTACTGTTCTTACATGTGTTGCTTCTTTTTCTCTGAACCTTTCAGGTGAGCTGTTAAGTTGTTAGTATGAGATCTCTCTTGTTTCTTTATGAAGTCACTTAGTGCTATCTTTCTTCTTATCACTGACCTTATTATGTTACATAATTTTGGGAATGTTTTGCCTTCATTTTCATTGAATTTTTTTAGAAGCACTTAATTTCTTTACTTCTTCTTTGACATAGCATTCACTGAGTTGGGAACTTATTCAGTTTCCATTAGTGTGTTAGCTTTTTGTTATTTCTGTTGTTATTGAAGTCCAGCTTTAATCTATGGTGATCTGATACAGTACAGTGGGTTAATTAAACTATCTTGAAATAGTGTGGTTTGCTTTGTGACCTACTATATGGTCTATTTTGGAAAAGGTTCCAAGAGGTGCTGAGAAGAAGTGATATTTTGTGTGTGTGTGTGTGTGTGTGTGTGTGTGTGTGTGTGTGTGTGTGT